AGCCATGTTCGAACGAAACAAAAATTTGAAAATTGTTTTCCTACAAAAACTAGCACAGAACAGCTTTCCGAATTGAAATTAATGCATTTTTGGCTCAGTTATGAGAATCGAAAAACCATAGTTTACCCTACAAATTAGCTTATAAAAATATCAAATGAATATAACTAGAATACACAAATTGTTAGGTTTCTGAAAGGTATATGAAAGGCAAAAACTCAATGATTCCCATAAATCATCAAATTTCCATTTGCAATCCCTATTTTAATTAATAAAGATAAGCAATTTTAACAAAAATTCGACAAAATATGTAATTGAATTTTTATAATATTTGTTATTGATTTGTTTTGTGTCAGTGTAACTTCAGGGGCAGCAGGAGCAACCGCTTAGATGTCATCGTTAGCGCTGGCGGAACGGTCAGTGGGCGGGGTTGCCATGGGGGGTGGGAATAAGGAGTGGGAGAGTGGGTAGTGGGTGAGGGGGAAAAGTCGCGTGTGCCACGCGAGGGTGGCACACACACACTCCCGTCCGTCGTCCCTTCTACATTTTAAGGGGACCCCGATCTGTGGTGTGGCTTGGTGTTGTGTGGTGCTGCCCCGTGATGTGTGTTAATGAACTGCGTAACAATTAACAGCAGCAGCGACAACAATCGTCAACAAGCGACCGCAGATCGAATAAAGAAAAGATACTATTAAATAACCGAGGCTGTGAATACCCTTACATAAATATGACACAAGATTTCAAGGGGAAAACATATGACGCGGATAGAATTAAAGATATATATTTATAAACTAAACATTTATAAAATATGTTAAGAATTAAAAGAAAAAGACTTTTCCTTAGCTTCGTGACTTCGTTAATTCTTTCCCTTAAATGTATTAAAATAAATATGTATTTATTTACAACTTTATTTAAGTGAAAAATATAATTTAATTACAGACCGATTAATATTATAGGCAAACCAGTGCATTTGAAACAGATAGTCTCCTTTGGGAAAGGTCAAAATATGAGTTATATGATTATTCAGATAATTGTCACTTAGGTTGGACACAAAAATGTCGTGCTGGAAAATGGTTTCTATTACTTATTAATCAGTTATTTTTTCCCATTAGCTTACTTACATCATAGGGACAGGAATGATTTAGGTTGGAAGTACTATTTAAGAAGTCATAGATGAGCCTAGAAACGGGTCGGGCCCTCAGAGTTTTGAAGAATTTGCAGCCATCAATTGTGACATTGTAAAGGTATGGTTTATAGCCATTGGAACGCTTATAGAGGGCTCCATTTATCTATTAGTATAAAAACTTTTTAAGTACGCTCTTTGAAATAATCAAAATAATTGTAAAACATACCCTAACTTTGCTTACGGGTTTCTGGAAAAGCAGCACTTTGGCGGTTATATATTTGAATGTTTTATTCACTTTTTCCAAACGACAATACTCAAAACCACAAAAATTCTTATCCAAAGGTTCACAAATGACATTTGTAAACTCAAGTAGAGAATTAACCTGAAATGTAAAGACACTAATGATGAAGTTTGTGGGTTTTTTGTGGGTTATATAACCTCTATAAGAAAAAATCCTAAAACGAGGAAAGCAAAGATATGTCTCTGCATTTTATAGCAACTGTGACTCTGCGCCAACTGATTTTTAGAAAAACTGTATACTGCTGCTTAAAATTGATCAATTATTTGGGGTAAATTATACGCCTGAAGTAATTATTGCATATTTTCATATCACAAATCATAACAGAGCATTTATAGCTAATTATTTCCCATTAAATATTTGAATTCTACCTCTTTGTTAACAATAATATAAGCAAAACAATATATTATGTAGCCTTTATATCCTATTGAATATACCTCCATGTCAGGGTATTAAAAGTCAAAAGTCTCGGACCGGCGAAGCCAAAAACTTGCGGGTACTTTTGCGGATTTATTGCTTACACAAGATCGGTCAGAGGCTATATGGTTCCCCGATTATGCTGGTGCTTCCTCGCATCATCGGTCAGTTCTGGGTAACTCTATATAGAGTTCTGACTGAGTTCTTTTGATCTAAATCAATTTAATTGAGGTCCGAGTGCTGGACCCCTTGGCCTGGCTTAATTTGTTGATTGTGTGCCGGAGGAGGAAGAGTGTGTCTGTTGTGTATCAGTGTGAAATCTGAGGCTGAATTCTATCATCTCGAATCATTGAAAAAGTCAGGGTTAGGAAGCAATTAGCTGATGGAGAGTTGGCTGGACTTTTTTTTATGAAAAGGAGCCTTTTCAGGGATTAATTGACATATCCAAAAAGTAGCTCAACCTCACTGAAGCTTAAAAGCAGACTTTATTTATATTAATTAATGGAAGAAAGAAACTCCTGAAGAAGGAAACTTAATTTTGACAGTTCCATAAAATTTCAAAGCAATTAGGGATCTCCCATAGATTCCCATTAAACTTGGCATAACTTTGCAAACAAAATCCTGTTCAGCTAATCTTTAATGTCTCCCTAAACTAACCCTTACTCAACCTCAACTTCCGGTTAAAAACATGTGCAATCGCCTTGTAAAACTTAAATTGAAAAGTTCAGAGATGCCAACCTATCATGCAAGCTGTCTTCCTCCACAGATATCTCGGCATCTTCAACCAGATGGAGGAAGAACAACCATACAGAGATCTCTGAGTTAACCCTCGAGGCCGGAATGAACCCACTTCCGTTCGATCCAAGAAAAAGAATCCGCATCCCCTCCTCATTCCTTGAGAGTGGTGGTAACTGGACGGGGTCGAGTGTTCAAGTGCAACTCGTAATTACTCATTCATAATTTTCCGCAGCCTTAATTGCGAGCGTATTCCCCTCCTCTGGCAATTGAAGCGACTTTATAGTACACACTAGGTCCATTCATACATTTATTTATTGGTTCCAGCTCGAGCGTAAATTAACTTAATTGAAATTCGGGTCAACAGAGAGGCCAAGATAATGGAAGAAACTAATTAAGGAGGAGAGCACTACCACTGCCCACATGCATTTATAGTTTATTGTTACTTTGCGCATTTGTCGCTTAAATATTTTCAAATATTTTCCCTATTTGCTGACATTATTTGATTATTTGTTGAGTGTGGAGTGGCGACCCATGGGTTACCAATTATTTTATTAATAAATATTTGAATGCGCGCCACGGCCCTCATGGAGCAGCCACAGGCCAGGCCACATCAGTTTCAATTAAAAACACATTTTGTGGTCACTGGTCACTTGGTTCAAATCGCTGACTGTGGGTTCTCCTCTCCTCTCCGATATAAGCCTCGATTCTGGGTTCTATATTGTACATAATGCCTATAGGTGACACACCCAACCCTCACTTGAGGGTCTTCCCAAGCCCATGTGGGCACATTGACGAAGGCGAAGTCTTGTGGTGGCCATCAAACTGGATTTAATGAAAAACCATCGATCGATATAGTGCCAATAATTTATCTTGAGAACCATGGTAGCTGCTGGTGTAAGCCACTTAGTGTCATCTAACTGGGTATTGTTTAAGGTGAGATTCTTCAGCAGGTTCTAGATCAATTTTAATAAATACTGATGATGAAATAGTGTCTGATAACTATACCACAAATCTCCTCAATCTTTATTATAAAATAAGTGTTACACATTTATAAGACAACCCCCAAAGATAATCCATTTCACATTCTTACTACCAACCAAAAAAAGAACACCTTTGCCAACCACTTAGACACCTCTTTCACAGAGACACCTCTTTGGCCACAAAGAAAAGTTTTCAAAACCTCGACAACTTACCCTTAAACCCTAAACCCCAATCTATAATAATATCTGCTCTATTCACAAGAAGATATATATAGAAACAGGGAAAAAACACTGATCCTTAAGCCTTTGCACAATACAAGAACCGAACTGAGCTAGAGCTAGAGCGGCAGCTAACCGATTATATGTATAAAATATTTATGAAATAGAAACTCGCTCTCAGCGAGACTAAGCCGATGGGCTTGAACCATTAGAGAGGCCAAGGAGCAACCAGGAGCAGTCCTAAATTGCACAGAAAGTGTAACAAGCGGCACACGCACAGGCCCAGGAGGAGATCGCAGGACCATAGGGATTCCATTCGGACTCCCTAAGATGCTACTGCATCTGCCTGAGACGTACACAATATAGACACTATATATATCCCATCCTGGTGGGTTGCTCTTTCGACAGTGTAATCCCTGCACTTAACCCGGGTAATAAGATAAGTAAGGCAGATCCTCTGGTTCCTTGCTCCTTGCGCTTGTTATCTTTGTAAATTGCATGTCGAGCACTTAAGCCAATATAGAGAAAAGGAGATCTTCGGGAGGAAAACTGGTTAAGACATTTCCCATTTTCCCGAACCGAGTGCGCGTGCTATACTCTCTCTCTTTATTCCAATATTCCCATTTTGTATTCTTGAATTCTAAAGTGATATAGTTAAAGGAATCCCACCGAAGCCGCAGTCCCGGACTGATTTAGCGACTTAGAGCTTAGGAGGGACTAGGCTTAGGTAAGTGGATTTCTGAATTCAATCCGGAATCCAGGGCACATACGACGACTACGAAGACGACGACGTGTTAAGTATATAATGCGCTCATCCGATCTATTTCAATAACAAAATAAACCAAAAACCTACATAAGCCGGGACGAGGGCAACCCAATAAAACAATGCTAGTCTATATAGAAATTGTTCCAATCCGCCTGATCTGCGGATTGTTTTTCCATCTCCCAAAACCCAGTACGAGTTTGAGTTTTGAGTTTTAAATGCAAAATATTTGAATCGTTGGCTTAAGGCGTGTGGGCCAAAAACCCGATTTAACTCTTTGCCCTGGACCTAAGCTGAGCATAAGCCCCAAAAATATGTACATACACAGAGACTTGGGAATCGAAGATATACAATAAATACATATAGTTAAGTTTCTTTCAATTCGATGGTAAAATGAGAAGGATATGTAATCCTTTCAAGAAACCCGACAGGAAAAAATATTAATAAATATTTCGCACTTACCAGACCAGACCGGAAGGACCACTCTTTAGTAAGTGTTCAACGATCTGAAATAAGTAAAATAATAAATATATTATTATTAATATATTATATAAAAAATGATATAATATGAGTTAATAATCATTAAGAGGGGAAACCCCAGAATAATCCTGATGAAAAACCTAATAAAAACTCTTATTTAAATTGTAATAATAAATAATTAAATACATTGTTGTAATATAAATACAAACTTAATTTGTATTAAGCAACATAGCAAACAATATACTATCTATATAATTATACCAATCCAGATATTATCCAACTGAAAACCACCCTATAAATTACCCACAGACGACTCCAAACCAGAGTGTTAATTTGCATAAGATCCATACTATATTGCATAACTCGGAACCCATTGAAAAGCCAACCTCCTCATCCATTTACGTTTCCTCTAAACCTGACACCTTATAAAACTGCCAGCTAATCGCTTCAATAACATGATTTACCAACTCACACACACAATAATTTACAATTATTGAACCGAAGAGAAATGGGCAAACACAAAATATGATAATTGCTACCGATCGTTGGTCTATAGCTGGAGATAAAGAGCCACAGCGAGTGGAGAGGAGATTAATCTAGTAACGATGATATTAATTATCATTTCGTTTACAAATCGCCTTTAGTTTTTTTTTTGGGTGCGGGGGAATCAAAAGCGAGGAAAGCGCTGTATTTATGATATGGCCGAGTCTTGTTATAGGAAAGGGGGAAAAACTTGTTGATGCCGATGGATGCTCCCTTTTTCTCACTCACATCACTAGTTTTTCTTCTCCTGCAAACACATGTCAAGTGATCAAAGCATCAGAAGCCGCCGACTATGCCGTAGAAATTTCCAAAATAATGAAGATATCCACTGAGAACCCGAGGAAATAGTTTGAGAAATTTCAGAACAACAACGCCCAAGTCGGTTTCCTTTCTACTATTTCTTTAGACTATTTTCCCTAACGTCTTCTCATCTTTCAAATTGAGGCCTAAGCGAGTTCAGGGGTTTACACTGAGAGAAATTATTAAGAACTACCACAAATTGTAAAGATTTAATAAGGGAACATTTAAACATATTTATAAAAAAAAACACAATACTACAAAAAACATGAAGATTTATTTTTTCCTAAATAAAAACTATAATTGAGGTGGAAAATGTTTAATAAATTATATTTCATATATCAAATTCGAGTTTTTAACTTTAAAAAATTTCTAGTTTTTCAAAGAATTTGAAGATTTCCAATGGTATTAGCTAATATGTATAATATGACTAGGATGATGGATTTTAGTTATTAAAATAAATATACTTTCTTTAAGAGAATACCTAAATATTGTAAATAAATACTATCAATATTATTTTCATGAAAATATAAAATGCATAAAATATAACGAAGTTATATTCTTATTTAAATACCGAATGACATTATAAATAATAAATATTCTGAATGAACATGGTCATAATATTCTTCACTTGAAAATGGAAAATGTTTAGTTAAGTCCCCCTTTTAATTGCGGTAAAGATTTTCCTCAGTGTAGCGCACATATTAGTTGAAAAATTGTATAACAAAAGTTAAAGAAATATTGCCTGAGACATTTGGAAAGAAAACCCGGCAAAGTGTGCCCTCTCGCTGGCCAAGATCTATGGACAATGGCCTAGCTGGGGACGGACACAGGGACATGGGAGCAGGGGGTACGGGTACGGGTACGGGTACGGGTCCAGCAGCTATGGGATATCATATCGGATCGCTCAGGATCGGAGCAGTGTACCTGCGGTGCTCTGGGCCTCACAGCTGGAGTTGTCACTGGGCATGTAAAGAGCCAAACAAATCGAAGGATGGGAAGTCAATGGGTGATGGCTCATTTTCGAACCTCATCCGCTCCGACTTCGGTATTTTTCTGCCGTTCCCTTTTCATTTTTCACTTTTTTGGGAATCATTTTCATGTTTGCCGCTTTGCTAGAGCCAAACAACTAATTAAGTCATCAGGATGGATAGGAAGCTGGGTAAATATTTAGCTGGACAGCAGCTGGAAGTCAATGTGAAGGAATGAAGAGAAATTATAATGCTAATAAAGGAAAGGAAATATTGAGCTATATATTTAAAGTCCTTAAGTAAGACTGTGAGTTTTAAAAACAACCCAAAATACAACTAAATATCTTCAAAACATCTTTAAGAAATGTTAAAATTTCAATATTGTTGTTCTGAAACTTTTTCGAAATGAGAAAACTATTTAAAAATTTCTTTTACATGTTATTTATTTAATATTCAGTTTGAAATATGTACAAAAAGTGTTGACAAGGCAAACTACAAAGGGCCTTCGATCGCAAGAAGTCTGCTCTTTTTTGGGACCTCGTCGGTATCCCAAAGAATTCGATGCTCTCTTCCAGAGTTCCGATCGACGTTCCAGGTCGAATCGAAGGCAAAGTGCTGGGGAATTTTGCTAAATTGCAGCATTTAGACGTCACTGGCGGGTTGGAAGAACCTAAGGCTAGATCCTCTCCGGATCCAACGCTGCTCCGCCTGGTCCCTTGGTTGGTTTTCTTTCGTTTTGCTGGTGATCCAAAGGCTTGTTTTCCTTTTCTTCCCAGTGCATACATTTAGCTGGCGGGGAACTTGCCGAAGAACTGCATCCGCTGGAAGAGTTCAGCGGAGTTGAGATGCGGCGGGTAGCCCTGCAGCTGGGCGGCGGGATGCTGGGGAGGAGCCTGGTACTGATGCATCTGCTGGTAGGCAGCCTGATAGGCGGCGGGATTCATGCGCTGATAGAGAGCGGCAGCGGCAGCAGCGGCGGCGGCGGCGGCAGCTGCTCCTCCGAAGGGAACTCCGGGATAACCATAGCCGGGAGCAGGAGCTCCGTAGGGGGAACCACCGCCAGCCATGGGCGAGAAGATGGCCTGGCGATAGGCGGCCAGGCGAGTGCGACTTGCGCCGGGATTCTTGCGCCTCAGTTTGCCGGTGGTCTCGCCAATGAAGACCTCCTCGGCAGAGGGGTCCAGGATCCAGTAGTTGCCCTTGCCGGGATCATCGTAGCTGCGCGGGATCTTTGTGAAGCACTTGTTCAGGCTTAGATTGTGGCGAATGGAGTTCTGCCAGCCGCGCTTGTTGGCCTTGAAGTAGGGGAAACGATTGATGAGGTACTGGTAGATCCCATTGAGGGTCAAGCGCTGTTCGGGACTGTCCTGGATGGCCATCATGATGAGGGCATTGTAGCTGTAGGGCGGCTTCTTGTTGTCCGAACCGGAGGAGGAGGAGGAGGCGGAGGATGAGCTCATCTTCTGCTTCTTGCTGGGATTACCCTCCTCTTCGGCGCTCTCCTGGTCCTCCTCCAGCTGATCCTCCAGATCGTCATCGAACTCCACATCCAGTTTGTCATTGTTCTGGGAGGACAGACTCTCGGCGGCACTGCTCATGGGAGTGCTGGTCCTGCTGGGAGTGTCAAAGTCCTCCGAGGCGGAGAGCTCGCCATCCGAGTTGGAGTAGGGATGCACGTACTGATGATGGGGCAGCTGATGGTGCAGCTGATGATGGTGATGAAGACTGGGCTCCTGCTTGATGCCCATAGCGATGGACGGCTGCTGATGGTTTACTTGGGGTTTCTTGGCCAAAATGGCATCGATGGAGAAGTTGCTCTTGAATTCCATTTCACTTTTCACCATTGTTGTTCTAGGGCTTTGTATATAATATCTTTGGTTGATTTTATTCAGATTATTCTGCGGCACACACGACTCAGGATCGCTTGAGATGCTTTGCTTTGGAGAGTGCTGAGTGAACTGACTTCTCTACGGCACCCGCTCGGGCTATTTATAGTCCTACCCCCGGGCTCTCGAACAAAGTCTACACAGAGAGAGGGAGAGACAGCTTCCACAAGAGAGATGGGTAGATTACTGCCTGCTAAGGAGAGAGAGAGCAAGGTAGCTCACGCAAAGAGAGAGTGAGAGCAGGTAGCCGAGCCTTGGGACCAGTGTTGCCAGGTGATGAGCGCCCATATAAGCTAGATTTAAAAAAAAAATAAGCTAGAATAAGCTAAACAATTTTTAAAAAATGCGAAAAAACAAGCTACACCCAAATATGAGAAAACACGAAACATATAATATATATTATTATATTATATGAATATGTTATTATTAAAGAAAGTCTTAAAAATATGTTCTTAAAGTAAGCACTTAAAACAAATTAGTTAATATTTCATCAATTCCTTCATGTTGTTCGTCGCCGAGTGTTCGGCAATGAACAAACAAAGCGCTGCTTCCTGATCCTGAGTCTTGCAACACTTAGCCGGAAAATTTATTTTTTGCGATTCAGCAACTGATCTCATTGATAAAATGTGCTTTTTCGATGCCGCATGCTGCCTGATTTAAAAAATTTTGGCTGATATTGTCGACTTACAGTAGCAACAATATGCTTTGGTTCCTTCTCCTGGCACTTAAATTCGTTGTTTTGGAGCCAAGCATCCCGAAAAATCTGTTTATATATAACTTTCGGCATTTTGAGGACACGCTTTACCTATTTTCACAACACAACAAAATTATTGGTGGTAACACTTCAGCCAACAAATCGATCTCCGATGACACTTTCGATTAGAAATAAGTTCACGATCACATAAAATGCACATAACCATCGGAAAAAAAGAACAAACTCCAATATTTTCATGCTATAAAGCATATTTTTCGTAAAAAACATTCCGTGGATGTCAAAAATACATAAAAAGCTAAAATATGCTAGATGAATTTTAAAATAAGCTATATTTCAAGCTATAAGCTAGATGGAAATTTTTCAAGCTTTTCTAGTTTCAAATATGCTAGAACTAGCTTATAATAAGCTAACCTGGCAACACTGCTTGGGACTCCGCCCTCCATTTTGTTGACCATTTTGTTCCACTCGCCTTCCACACCAGCCCCTGTGTGTGCGTGTGAGTGTGTATATGTTTTCATATGGAAGATGGCTTTGTTTGGGAACTTGTGGATGTTTATTTGCAGTCTTTGCTGCTTCGGCGTCAAAATATCCATTACATCCAATCCAAACAGGGTTGCCTCTCTCGCTGCCATTCGCTGGGGGTTGTTTCGCGAGCGGCGACTGTTTTGACTATTAATTGCACTAACAAGCGGGTTAATAAAAACAAAAACACAAATCGATTCCCGGGAGAGTTAGCAATTTAATCAGGTTGCTTATTAGTTTTATAAGGATTTTCCTAATTTTAAATAGCTTTTGACCGAAAAAGTGGCCCATTGCTTTAATAATGAAGACGGCAGCTCTGTTGGAGTTGCCACAAATGTTGCAGGAGATTGTTTTTTAATTATTAAATGAAAAACCAAAACACTGGCTTTAAAAGGGATAATTTGTTTAAGAAATTTAAAATGAACCTATTCAAATTAAAAAAATAAATAAAAATTAATTCTTAATTAAATTATATTTTTTATAATAAATAATTAATTTTAAAATTATTAAAATAAGTTAGACCCATTAATATAAGTAATTTCAAGTTAAATCTCTTATATTTTCAATTCGTTTAATAATTATTTATAAAATATCTTTCTTGCCATTACCATCCGCTTCTTAATATTTATTTCTAGCCAAAAAAGCCCTAGCACATTTAAATTTTATATTAAATACCTATTATTATTATTACTTGTTATATTAGACAATGAATTCGTAGAATTAGTTGTCTTCAAAACTCTTCCTCTCTATGTGCAATCCCTGTCTTCGAGTTGCTCTTAATCCCGCCCAAACTAGTTCAAAGGGTTTCTCTAGGGGATTACGGGACACATAGATCCCGAGTCTGGATTCTCGATCCCTCTGCCTGGACTAACGGCACCCGATCTTCGACAGCTCAATGGAGCTCAGCTCGGCTCGGCTCAGGTAATCCGAAGGGGTTAACGGGTTAACCCTTCCAAGCCAGCCGGGATTTGTTCTAGTTTCGCGACAGATTTTCGAATTAGTTCTGGGCGCGCTTCGGCGAAATCAATACGTGGATCTCTTCGACAATCCTTTCGAGATTAATAAATTTGGGAAAAATGCAAGCCAGATAAATATTTGTGCTTCAGAGACTTTAGAGGTAAGTTTAAAATGGGTTTCAAGGCAAAGTTAAGTTGTGTTTTCGTGACTTGTGCGGGGGAGTTAAGTAGAAATTGGATTTAAGAGGAGAGATTTTCATATAAAGAATATCTTGTATGGTATAGGATTTCTATATGATATAAGGTTTTTCCTCCCTTTTTTAACTTTATACCATATAAAATACCCTATTTGTAACGATGAATAGTAAAATATTCCAAAAAATATCAATATCATCTTTATAATAGTGATTTTAATGATACTTTTACAAATATTTCTCTGTAGATCATAGCAATGTTGACAATTTCAAGTGACTTTCCTAACGACACATGCAATTCATGTGGCTAATGGGGAATAAGATATATACAATATATCCTTCAAGATCAAAGGCAGCGTCAATATAGTACAAGTACTTGGTAGCTGATTTTTCGATTGGAATTTCGACTGGCAGCGGACCGAGACTGGACACTACAATAACAAGGAAGTACAAGTGGTTTTTGTGTTTTATGTTTTTATGGCATGTTTTTGTTAGAACAATTGAACAAATATACGGACAGAGCATCGATGTACGTAAATTGGGCGAAAGTCAAGTACGCAGACAATGAAGACGTCAGCGCTGTGGGTTATTACAGATCTCTCCATGGTCCATGGAGAGATCTTTGGATGGATCTCGGGGATAAATGGTCTGATGGTTGGTTGGGGGATTGGGACTGTCGGCTTCACGCGTTTGATATCTTAGACAACTTGACAAAACAATCAAAGCAACAAAACACATGTTCCAAATGACTGTCTATTAATTTGCTGCCGAGATCCCTACTCATATTTTTTTCTTCATTTCTTTTTATTTTTTGCTCAGAAAACAATGGAGTTGAAAAAAAGTAGGCAGCGCACTTTACACGCAGTAGTTCTCCAATTTGCCGATGATGATAATGATGCACTCTCCGAAAAAGTCGGCAAAGTTGAAAGTAAATAAAAAGTAGAAAAGTAGAAAAAAGTAGGCGTTAAGGCCAGGCAGCAGCAGGTTCAGTTACTATTCTCTTCTTTACTTTCTTTTCGTTCTCTTCTAAGCGATGGGATAAATGAAGATTTGAACGCCTCGATTTTCTTTTTGCGGCTTCCTCTGCCCCCACGTTTTTTTTTGTATCTCACTCTCTCTAATTGAGTTGGAAATCTGTGTAGATTTTCCTCTCCTCTTTTTTTTGCGAAAGATGAAAGGTTTTCCGCCGACTGTGGCTCTGTGACTCCCTGACTTTTCATGACTTGGCCTGGTGTGCATAATTTTGACAGCCGCGACAAAACTAATTGATTTGTGAAATCCCCTAAGTCGAAGCTAAAGCCACAGGATCGCAGGACACACACATTGCGGTGGAGGAGGAGGTCCAAGGGAGATAAAGGATATAGAAGTTGATAGAGGTAGGGGTTCTTATTAAATTACAGAATACAGGGAATAATAATAAGTACAACATTTTAGGTTATTTTCCTTAAATATTTTATAGTTAAAATAATTTTGTTAAATGGGAAGATATAGAAAACAATGTCGATTAATTATTATTATATTATTTTCTTTGATTTGAAAAACTAAAAGAAGTATCAAGGGTTTTTGTGAATGTTTTATGGAATTTTGTAGACAATTCTCCTAAATTAATTAACCTTAAATAACCTCCTTGCTTTAAATACCTTTAGTTAACAATTTTAAAGACCCATTCTCTGACTAAAAAAAAAGGAAATTTTCCAACATTTTTCCCCCCGCCTCGTAGATAATGCAGTAAAACGAATTGATTACAAATTCGCAATCCCATTGCCAGGACACACACCTTGGGCAGACCGAGAGCATGTGGTCGCTGATTGGGTGATCAGAGCATGATCAGGACCGCACCGTGGTCACCTCGGGCGAGGACTCCACGCTGGCTGGACATTATGGTTTCATTGCCAGAAACCGCACTCGGGCGTTGCCTTGGCCGAAGGCTGAGGAGCTTCGCTTCACGCCTGTTCCATTAGCTCACTCAGAAATCGAAGAAGGAGAAATAATGGCTAGAACGTTATCCTTAACGCTTGGGATATCTATAGAATGAGACTAAGCGAATTCCAAGTAGACACCGTGGCCACAGACAATGCCCATGTAATTTTCAATTAACGCCACAAGATTTCCATCCTCCTTCTGATCCCAGGCAGAACTTTCGCCTCCATTTCGTTCCACGGTGGGTGAGCATTGAGTCTCATAATTGATCGTAATGTGCGATATTCCCTTTGAGATGTCCCTGCTGTCAGCAGTCCTGCGAGACTGTCACATGGCATCAGCAGGACATCATCCAGCCCGGGCATTTGTCGCGCTCAGCGAGTCGTCGTCGTCGTCTTCTCGCACTTTGCCTTTCAGCCATTGTCATCGGTCCTCGTCCTGCATATCGACAGGATATGCACAGGACACAGGACGAGAAGATACCTTTTGAGTCCGAGCTTATGGCCCAAAACAATGCACATGATCGATCTTTCGATCAACCCGATTTTTTATGCATCCGAAACGAGAAGAGTCGAAGAGAACTGTCACTAATCACACAGGTCCTTTTCTGGTATTTCTTCAGAAGCCTCGATTTTTATTGATAAATCCCAGATTTTGAATGAATCCCGCCAAACCGGATTTAAGTTCATATATATGACACTTACAATATGGTTTTATGGCCTCAAAAATCAAAGGCATTTCAGGTAGCAAAAAGGGTTTAAAATTGGCAAGTTTGTTAGTCCAAAATGCAGGTAGGAATATTTTAGCAACTTGTAAAAGAATTATTAAATTATAGAGGGTATAAAAATAACAGGATATCAGTAATATAAATACGAAAAACCCTAAACTAGTTCCTCTCAATTCTCTTAAAATCTATATAGAACATTCTTTGCTTTCAAGGAACTTCAACATAAATAAAACAAATATTTCCTAGCTAGTAAGGACTGTAGCTCTCGAGAGGCACCACCTCCTTTAGCTCCTCCTTGAAGGCGGCTAAAATTTGTTTTATATTCCTAACCATATGTGTCAGAAAGTTCCACTTAAGTAGAGTCGCCGCCCAGAGCACAGCTGGAGGCACTCCTGACCAGCCTTTCTTTGACAACTTTATTGGCTCCTCGTACACCCACTGAAAATCGATCAGTTCCAGGACTCGCAGACACATAAAAAACTATATATCGTATGTGCAACTTATCGATTAAGTTGTCCGTGCGGTTTGGGATCGGTATCCCAGGACAGGATGCCAGGATCGAATTATCAAAAGGCAACTCCATTTTGCAGCTTGCCAGGACGAAACAGAACTGAATTGATTCGTCACGCAGATTTCGATACATTAAATGCAATCATTTGACAACAGGACGAAAATATTTTCATCCATTGTGTCCTAACAATACATATGTGTGTCTGTGTGAGTGCGTCCCAGAGCCTTTGCAGGTTATCCTGGTGTTGGTGTGCAGGACTCCCCCCCAAAGCGTAGCAAATGCGGGGCTGAGGATGTGCTCTCTCTCTCTGTATAGGATTCTATCTCAGGCTCTCCGCTCTATGCCTCTCCTCGGGCGTGTGAAATCGGAAAACAACGTCCTGGGAGCTGGCGATAATTGCTCGTTAGTAGCAGGCACCATGTCCATGATGCGGTTCTCGATTCCAGTCGGATTAACATGTCAGTAAAAAGGCTAAAGGATCTGCAGAGCAGACTGTACTCGAGGATTTTAAAGTACATTTATAGGGGAAATATTTAATGAAGAAAGGGGTACTTATGCCACAAGAAATATATTAAAAAGAAATGCTCTGAGACTTATTTATCTATGACATTTATGGCCTATATGGGATTTTGCCCATACTTTAATATGTAAATATTATGTATATATATTATATATTATTAAAATATTTAAGAAATAGATTTTAATAAAAGAAAATATGGCAAGTATTTGAATCTTTTTCTAACAGTTATATACCTCTTAGAAAAAACAGCTAAAATGCTATGAAATATATAAGTTATGCACCCTTAAAGGTATTAATTATCTATAAAAATAAGAAATATAAAATTTAGAATAACATTGTTTTTGTTATTCTTCAAAATAAAGTTAAAAAACAGGTTGTAATTAGCCAAGTTAACAACAGTCCCTTTAGCGCAGTGGAAAGCGCGTTGGATTTCTAATCCAAAGGTCGCGGGTTCGAATCCCGCAAGGGATGTTAAGGTCACTTTTTTATTTTAAATTACTCCTCATTGTTATTTTATAATCTTGAAAATATTATATACAACTTAAGGGACCATTTAAACCAATCATAAAAGCCTTTCAAGTATTGCTATATATTTTTTATCATTACATGAGAGCTACTCAAAGTAGGCCTTGAATATTAATTGTGCCTTGATTGTTGGGTTTGGAATCATGACCTTTATTCATACATATAGGAAAAACCTTCTATATATTTCTATCCCTCTTTTAGTAAATAGTAAGTCCTTTAATTTTGTTTTAGAAAACACCACTATAGAGTTACCTTAGGTTTTTCTTCTATAAGTTTTGTTATTTTCAATTATCTTTATCCAGATATCATTAGCAGCTAAGGTGTGGCTTTATTTTTGATCCAAATCTCTCATTGTTGATATAACACATGGGTTGGCACCTTTAAAAAAATTCATACCTCACATTTATAGAGCAACAAGGCTCATAAAAGTATCATCCTGCTGATCTAGCCATCTCCAGCGATTACAATCATTATCCTTTCAGCGGAGCAAGTTCCCCGAAAACCAATTAAAAACAAAGACGATGCCAAAATGTGACAACATAATCCACATAAAGTAGCCAAAGGACGGGGACTATATATATATATGTACACCATATATCGCCCGATCATCGTCGTGATTTTTGTCTAATCTCTGTGATTTTTTGTGTGACAACATAATCAAGGCAAGTCGGCAAAGATCACACCGGCCGCATGTCCTTTTGGAGGAGGACAACAACAACAAAAAAAGAAGTACTAAAAAGGAAGCCGATCAACGTGCCGAAAGGTGGAAAGTGTGTGCGTGTGGAAATGTCACCTGAATAAGGAGCCAAAGGAGCAAAAGGAGCAAGAAGCAGCCGCCAGAGTCCCGACTTTGATGCCTTTGTTTTTGGGAAAACATTTTATCACATTGTCATTGCGGACAGAGCTGGAAAATAAGAAAAAACCAGCCGCCGCCGCCGCCGATGCCAACAAATGTCTCAATTATTATACGTTTTTCGGCATTTCGGACTTTGACTTTCATTCTATTTGAGCGAGTTTGGGCCACGCCTATATGGTATATACCCCGAGAGGGGCCTCCTGCACGTTGTACCGCAGCAGGAGTCCTTGATTTATGCGACGGCGATCCTTGATCCTGGACGCAATCAAAGGAAGAGCTCAAACAATATACAGTATAATCACCACAAATGATCGCAGCGCGTGCAAAATGTTTGAAGGAAGCGTCGTTAGCATCCCCACATCAGGAATAAGGAATAAGCCAGCACAATTAAAAAGCCAAAAGGAGGGACGGCTAAGCGGATTGCTGACTGCGTTCTGCCTTTAATAGTCTTAAAAATTGATTTCTTTTTCCTGTTTTGTTTTCTTCATCTTTTTTTTGGGTCTTGAAATGAGCAGCAGACGGGGCTCTTTCTGCTCTTCTTTCGGACGTGTTAACATAGCAATTAACTTTTACAAGGCCTGCCGCCGCCGCTAAGGAGCAGGGAATTTATGTTCGAATTTATGCGGCGACAGGATATGACCAGGGGATAAAGGATCACATCTAACAGCTGGCAAATATGACGAGGAAGATGATCGGTTTATGGACGTATTGGAATGTGCTTCGAGACAAGGTGTGAAACAGCTCAATATTCGAAAAAACACCTGAACACAGTGATTATTATATAAAATTATTCAAAATGGAGAGCAGAGAGAAGACACAAGTATAGAAAAACAAGAAAATATATTATAAAAATAAATAAATAATAGAATAAAAAGGAATAATGAGAATTCAGAAATTAAAACATGTTTAGATAATATATATTCGGTATTATATTGGTTGAAAATGATCTTTAAGTAAACAAAAAAACTTTTAAAAATGATTAAATCTTTCAAATGGGTAAACAATATTTTTCGGACCTTTCATTAAAAATATTAATTCTATAAACAATTTTATAAACCTTTTCACGATGGTTTTAGCAAATTTTTATGATACTTATTACAATTTAATAATTTAAATATTTATAAACCAAAAAATCCGTTTTATTAAAATAGTTGTAGGCAAGACGACATATTTATTTATTTAAAACCTTGCAAGGTTATTTTAATTTCAGTCAGAAGCTGAAAACACAGTGAAGGAGTCATTTCCGACCCTATAAATCATATATATTCTTAATCAGCATGAAAAGCCGAATCGATCTAGCCATTATTGAACAAAAATAAATTTTGACAATTTTTTTGTTAAATTTTTTCGTTACAAATTAGCTTTGTGAAAATGTCAAAATTTGAAAAAATTCAAATATAAATTAATCTTAAAACTCAATATGCAGAATTGTTAACCCTATAAAAACTAGTACAGAACAGCTTACCGAATTGAAATTAATGCATTTTTGGCGTAGTTATGAGTTTTTTAAATTTCAGTTTGTTGGAAAAGTTGTCATATAAATATATCGTAAATATCAACTTAAAAATGATATTATAATATCAGTCAGAAGCTGAAAACATTGTGAAGGAACCATTTCTGACCCTATAAATTATATATATTCTTGATCAGCATGAAAATCCGAATCGATCTAGTCATGTTCAAACGAAACAAAATTTTGAAATTTTTTTCCCTTTTTTTTCGTTAAAAATTGTCTCTGTGAAAATGTCAAAATTTGAAAAAATTCTAATTTCCATTAATCTTAAAACTCAATATGCAGAATTGTTAAACCTTTAAAATTAGCACAGATCAGCTTTCCGAAATGAAATTAATGCATTTTTGCCTTAGTTATGAGATTTGAAAAATCTAAATTTACCCGAAAAGAAATTGGTATATTAATTATCAAATTAATATAACTAGAGTACACAAAAGCCTATGATTCCTAAAAATCATATATATTTCTACTTGCAATCCAAATCTTAAACAATGAAGAATAAACCATTTGACCAAAAATTCGACATTTTTCTCAATCTAATTTTATGGTTTCCTATTTATACCATTTTTAATTTTAAAAACTTGTAAACATAATTCTAGTATATTCACTCCCCCAACAAACACAAGCTGTAATTAATGTTGGAGCTTTGTTATATTTACTTGATCGGATTTCCCCACTTTCAATTAAATGACTTCCTTCCTCTGGCGAGGCGTGAAAGTGTGTCAGACAGCTCCAGCTCGTGGCGCACTTCCTCGACCATGTACAAGCTATTGCCTCAATCTCAACCTCAACCTCGACCACGACCACGACCACGACCATTAACCATAGCCATAACCCGGCTGGGATCACACCTCGTTGACATAATGACAAGATGGGAAATGCGTTTGGTCTTTTGCCGCGACGGCTGACACTTTCTCATTAACACAAAAACAAGGCGCAAAATTCGCTGACATTTCCGAGGCGCCGAGCTAATGTCTAGCGGGGCTTGTCACTCGGGGAAATTCGATATTGCCCGAGGAAAATTCAAGCGGGGAGAGGAGAGAAGAAACATATGCGGCAAGTGAAGTGTTTAGGCGTGGACGTGGCAACACAGAGAGGAGCCCAAAAAGGAGGCAGTGCCGTCAATGTGTTTGAAAGTCGGTTAATTACAAAAAAAAGAAAAATTCAAACCAAGTCCAGGGGAAAAGGAGACCCAACTCTCGACTGACTCACTCAAATTTCATCGAACGAAACGTGCAACATCAAAGGATGCCGTGGCGAGCGGCGACTTGTATGTTTTCATTGCTTCAAATTGGAAAATGTCTTAGCATTGGAAAATATTTGGTTATCATTTTGGGTAAATATGTGCCCCCAGTGTGTGAGGATAACGAGGCGAAGGCGTGGAGGAAAATGGATAGAAGGCTGCAAGGAAAACAGGAGATTTCCTTGGGCAAAATCCAAGAGTTAATTGCTTGGACACTTGGAGAAATAAACAGGGAAATTGGTAGAAAAATCTATGAATAAATATTAGTAAATTAGAAGACAAAAGATATTGTTTATATACAATATCTAATAGATATGTGATATATATCAATCGATTTCTGCAACTGTTTACGCTTCCTTTCGAATCCTTTCTTGCCTCTCTTACATTTCCTTAAATATTTCCAAACTGAAACGAGTCCGAAAGGTGTTTTTCCGGAACCCCAAAACTCAGGTGCTGTTTTTGATTTTGGAAGTCAACCTTCGGTCCCAAAAAGAGTCGCCCGCTGGCTATAGCCTCGTCGGACGGCAGCAGAGATCGGAAGGTTAGTGTTAAATGTCGCCGATTTGCACCAGCAGTGCACCGGAGGTGGCAGCAGGCCAAGAAGGTAACGAAAAAAATAAGAAAAGGACGAATAGAAATCGCAGGACTGGCATCACAAGTCAGGGGGGAGCCACGCGGCAGGATGCGCCGCGTCTGCCTGTGAGATGATGAGCCTCGAGTAGATGAGCGCGCCTCTGAATGGCTCAAAGGACTCAAAGGACTCTTCTCCGGCACCCGCTGGCATTGACAGGCCGACGACAGCAAGCAGGCCAAACTCAGCTGCTCCGGAACAGCAAAGCCGAGTGTCCTTGGACACATTGCCACTCGTCCTTGAGACGCACCGATGTGTGGCCAGAGTAAATGGCATATTTTGGCCTCTCCTTGGTTAACCGTACAAATCCCTGTCCCGGTGGAACGGAAACTTTGACATTGAACGTAGGGAGAACGGTTCCTTGACTCTAACGCAGAATTGTGGCCATACATTGACCTTGAGAGAGGATCCTAAGGAGATCCTGTCGCGTTTGTATATTCCGTCACAGTCACGATATATCAACATGACATTAACTAATCTCAAGTTTTGGTTGGTTGGTTGTTTAATTATTGGTTTTTTCGGTTGACCATTCAAGGTCCTTTAAGGGGGAACTAATAGGGAAAATATTACTGAGGTCAATCTTAGACGTTTTTGAAGATATTTGGAGTTTTAAATCAAGGTGTAAATTTGTCACTATAATAAATGAATTTATGGAATTATAGGTAGCTTTAAAATATATTTGAAAATTGTATATTTTAACTTT